GTTCAATTAGCCAGTCAGGTAATCCCTGTGTCAGACAACCTCCCTATATCTGTATCATCCAGTCGCCAAAACCTCTACTCCATTTCATTCCTCACCAGTTACACTATCGTTGCGTGGGTCGCATTATGAGGTACAAGACTGAAAGGCCCCAATGGAAATATGACAGAGAGTCCTTGGTGAAGTACTGACTTTACTAAGTTATCCTGGGTGGCTAACCCTCCCACGAGTTAAAAATCCGAACAAATCTTATCTTATCGTATACATGGAAAGAGAGAGTCACAGCGGCACCAGTGTGGTACATGTATATTGGTTCCCTGGTCAAGTATCTTAAACAACAAAGACAACAAACAATGTTCACAGAGGCAGGTAACCATAAAGTAATGGCTCTGAGTGTGTATCCGTCAATGAGTCATCGAGGGTATTAATATGAATTTACTGGGAGGTGATAACACCTCAGCTTTGAGGTCACTGACACAGCTACAGAATGAAATAAGCGGGTTAAGTGGTGGAAATAATATGCAGAGAATTCGTAGTGTGGAAATTACGAGGAGGTGTGGAGTTACAAAAAGTATTCTTCAGAGGGCTGAAGAGGGGGTTGAGGTGGTTTGGTCATTTAGAGAAGGTGGAGCAAAATAGAATAGCTTGGAGGGTGTATAAATCTTCCTCCCTAGTATATTGGAGATAGGTATCAGCTAATGTGGACACACATGTGTAGTCCCACACCACCTACTTGCCGTCTGTCAGACTTGAAGGGTGATACCATCTGGACGCTTTTGGTTACCATCATATCTGCATAGTTGGGGTGTCTCCCTCATTGCTGGGCATCCGGCTGTGATGCCCAGGCTGGGCATCACAGCCCCTATTCATGCCTTGGAATCTTCCCTTCTTCCCTCGGATCTATGGTATACCAGACCATGGTAACTGAATCAGTCTGCCGATTCACTGCCGCAAATACACATGTGTTCGGCGAGAAGAGGGGCGATAAGGCGAAGGGCAACACCAATGCGGATGGTCTATGGGTCGAGACGTGTGTGAAAGGAGGAGTTGGGAATAGCCAACAGGAAGTCCTCTGCATGAGGAGCTCTCACTGCTAGGAGGCAGGCTTTCTCCTTCACCAACACACTCTGAAGCACTGTTGAGGCTATATTCTCCAATATTAGGCCATCCCAGTGTGACTGTTTGTAGTTGTGACTGTTAGTAGTTGTTGTAGTTTGTAGCTGGCTTCCTAAGTGGCTGCCTAGAGTCCCGGATTCGAGTCTTGCACCTGTGTAATTCATCTTACTGGTTAGCACAGTGCTCGGTATCCACTACTGTGTTATCGAGCACGTACTTGACTCAGTCTGGTGCTGCCGCTGTGAGTGATGCTACTGCTGCTCAGACTGCATTACTGAATGAGTGTAATCTTTCTCGGTAGACGTAATGAGAATGGTGGCAATCACTCTCTGCTCGGATACATTATTTCTTACTGCTAAATCGTTCGAGACAGATATTATTCGACTGTCAAATGAACTATGAAGGGTGTGCTGCACCAATCATCACATTAGATATTTACTTCCTCATAGCTGTAGTCTCAGCGAGAGTTGGTAAAACTCAGTAGCATCGCTGTGGCTGCTGTACAGAGCACTGATCTCATCTCAGCAACACTCGTGTTGTAGATGAATGGTTTATAGAACCGACATGTTGATAAATAAGGTGCATGTGCAACTCTTGGGTATCTTTATTGAGGAAACGTTTCGCCACACAGTGGCTTCATCAGTCCAAGGGTTAGGCACGACCAGTCCAGGTTGTGCCTAACCCTTGGGCACGACCTACTTCCACATTGAACAAATGTGACACCACCTACGACTGCTGCACCTCTCCTGCCATACGGTATATAAGCTCCTTCTCCGCACATATGCCGTATTCTATTCAAAATTGATGGACTGACCACATCGACTCAAGGTTGAGGGATTGATTACCTCATTCTCCTCCTAATCTTCAAGATTCTCCTTTGCATGGGCTGATGAAGCCACTGTGTGGCGAAACGTTTCCTCAATAAAGATACCCAAGAGTTGCACATGTGTCTTATTTACCAACACTCGTGTTGGATTATGTACAACAATAAAAAAAAATAGTGATTGATGGAATATGACAAAAAATTCATTCTACTTAATGGAATATGATAAGAAAACCATTATAAATGATGGAATATGGCAAGAAAGCCATGTTATGTCGTGGAGTAAGACGAAAAAAAAAAAACTTGCGTGATGGAGTATGACACGAAAGTCATCTTACGTCATATAGTAAGACAAGAAAACTCTCCTTATGTACTGGAGTGTGACAAGAAAACCTTCCTTATGTACTGGAGTGTGACAAGAAAACCCTCCTTATGTACTGGAGTGTGACAAGAAAACCCTCCTACTAAGTGGAATATAAACAAGAAAATGTAACTATAAACACTTAAGCAGTATAATGTGATCCTTTATTGACAACGTTTCGCCCACGCAGTGGGCTTTATCAAGCCACAAACACATCTGTTTGTGAAAGTAAAGGTATTTTATACCTTTCATTGCCCATCTGTTTGTGATTTGACAAAGCCCACTGTGTGGGCGAAACGTTGTCAATAAAGAATCACATTATACTACTTAAAAGTGTTGATATTTCCATTGTGTCGGTATTTTATACCATTTATTTCCATAAATAAGAAAATCATCCATCGTAATGAAATACTTAAAATCATATGTGATGGATTATGATAAGAAAACCATCCAGTATATTCACAGTAACGTAAACAGTTACTTTCTGAAGATTAAAAAATTCAATGCTGTGACTGGAGCATCACACAAATAGCCAGCACATGACTCAGCACATAGGAGATATAGAGTCTAAGTCAGACCGAAACGTCGTCGTAAGTTTCAGTCTCCCATGTGAGGCATATCTGTGATTACTACTCTAAGTTAAAACATATCATAGGTCAGAGTAGATAGTACAGATTAGGGTTAGCCACACTGTTTAGTGGGGATGATTGTAGGCAACTACACTGTGTAGTGTGTGTACCCACCGTGTATTGTGTGTACTAAACAGTGTAGTTCAAGGTAACTACACTGTTTAGTAACTATAACTTTGTTTAAAAGAAACTTGGACCAGGTATCATTAGTGTGTGACTTCCTGGCAACGAAGTCTTGTTCATCCTACTTCTCACAGTTATCCTTGTATGTCATCGCACGCAATTTTCCCTTCACTCTGTTAGTATTAACATGCCACTAATTTTGCAGTGGTATTGCAACGAATATGTTGCCAGCACATTGGTGCCAGCACATTGTTGCCAGCACTTTGTTGCCAGTATATTGTTGCTAGTTCATTGTTGCCAGAACATTGTTACGTTAGCACATTGTTGACATTCCTGCATGCGCCTGGAGGCAGCTCATTTCGTTTAAGTCTCCTCCAGTACTGAGGTGACTGCTACGTCAGGGTTCCTGATATTTCCTGTATTTCGTTTTCTGTATTAAAAATTCTTCTGTATAAAGACACTGTTAAGGGGTATTAACAATAGACCCCTGGCTGTTTTCAAGGAACTGGACAGGCAACTAAAGTCAGTACTTGACCAGCCGGGCTGTGGTTTGTAAGGTGGATTTCGCACTGTAGGCAGTAACAGCCTGGTTGATTAGGCCCTGATCCACAGCGAGGTCTGGTCATGGACTGTGCCGCGGGGGCGTTGACCCCCGGAACACCATCCACGTATAATCCAAGTATGTGTAACATTCATTTCAAGAATTGGTGAAGGCTCGAATCTGCGTCCAGTGTTTGCGAAAGAGACACGATAACCGTGCACACTTGCTTAAATTCAGGACTAGAAGTATTAGCATATTTAAGTGACGCGCTAAGCCTGTAAGGGTAGTTCAGTTAAAGGAGTGGTGGAAGATGGATTCTTCGCTCACTAGTCCTTGAGTAGCAATGTAAAGGGGTTGGGCAAATATTTTTGTTAGTGGGTTTGGCTTTGAAAAGGACCTGCCTAGTATGGGACAGTAGGCCTGTTGCAGTGTTCCTATTTTATGTTCTTATGTACTCCATCTGTCAAGCTTCTTCTTGTAAAAATGACCATGAAAAATATGACTACCACACGTATGTAAATAGGAATTGGAAATTATTAAAACGTTTTAATATTTTCCAGCCAAAGGAATAACAGAAATAATTGTGTCAAGACAAGAAAACATAAGAATGGAAGACAAATGCAAAAGACCTGCTGATCCATGCTAGGTAGGTCCTACATGATCATAATGACATAACATGTGGGTTGGGAACTGATGAGAGTACTGGTGGACGAAATATCTTAAAAAAAATAAAAACTCACACATTGTATTATTAGCATTATAATGTGAATATATATTACCACTGTAAACATTCACGTGGTCAGGTCCATCTCACACCCCATTATTCCCACTCACGGACCTGACCAACCTACGTATCTTCAGAGCTACCTCTAATACTCCCCTCAACGATGCTAACAAACCACTGTATTCCAACGATGATAAATTTCTTATATTTAATCAAGTGATAAGCTTATAACATGAATTATAAAGCGAGTCAAGAAAGAGAAGAAAAGTCGAGTGAAGGTTGAAAAAATACTTTTCCAATCGACGATTTAAAAGTAAAACCCGATATTGTTGCTCCTTGAGTTATATCTTGTGTCACTGTTATCTGATCAAGTGATAACTGTAAGGTTTCACTGTCTAGTGACTTCACGATATCCTTCCCTTGTACTGTCATTTCCGTTTCTATTTGATACTTCTTATATCATTTTTTGACCTTTCACTTTCCTCTCTTGTAACGGCATACGTTACAACGAATGAACAATAAACAGAGGCCTGAGGAGGCAGGAAACACGTTATATCACTACAACGTTTTGTCATTCCAGGAAGGGTGTTGTACTCTCCAACAGTGACACTTCAGTGGGAACGACGTAGAATATCACCATGTCTAGCGACCGCCGGCATCTACTGGAGTTTACAAATGCAGGTGAGGCGACGCGCGCAGCTCCAGTTACAGTGTAGTCTTCAGTGAGTTGTGTGAAATAGGAAGTGTGAGAGGGAGTAGCTAACTGGAACAACGAGATACATAAGCCGTATGTGAGAAGTATTGCCCGATAGCGCAAGCACGAACGCAAGCGTACGTACACACACACACACACTCAAACATTGTTCTGCTCGTATAACAAAGAATAGGTACTCACACATTAAACAGACTGGAAAGTAAAAAAAAAATATTTTGCTCTTGGGAACGCCAAGGCCAGACACGACGTGTGAGTGTGGTTCCCCAACAACGCTGAAGACACCAAACTTTCATCGTAACGCTAAGCAGTGTACCACGACACATTATACAAATCTGCGACGGTGGAGGTTCCTATACCATTCCCCCTGAGATATGGCCGTGTTTATTTTCATGTGACCATCAACAGGAATGAAAGAGGTGCAGAAGTAATTTGTACAGGGATCTAATTCATGGTAAAGGTTGATAAGGCTTTTCGTTAGATCGAAGCGTTCTCTCATTAAAAGCCGGTTCTCCAGCCTGTGTCTGGTCATAACTTGATTCCTGTGTAATATACTATCATATTTCAACTGTATTGTCTGTATACCAGTGGTATTTTATACCGATAAGTATGAATAAGACACAATAGCTGTTTATGGTATGCATTAAGACAACGTCCACCAGGAACGTTATGAATTCCCACTAAGAATCACGAAAGTCTCCCGTGGACGAGCGTCTTCACTGACGCCAAACGGGGCTTTGTCTTCCTTGTCATGCCCACCTGGGCTGTCTCCCGTGTCATGCCCACCTGGGCTGTCTCCCGTGTCATGCCCAAAAGGGCTGCCTCCCGTGTCATGCCCAAAAGGGCTGCCTCCCGTGTCATGCCCACCTGGGCTGTCTACCGTCTCATGCTCACCTTTGCATCGTTTCAGTCAACATTCAGTTTTCCTCCTTCTGATGCCAGGGCTGGAAGAGTCTCTGTCAATCCATTGACAGTCAACCAACAAAATGCCCTAATCCGCAATCTGTCTGATTTTTATTGACTGTTAAGACGGGTGGAAGCTTGGGAGTGGGAGAGAACAGGATAAAGGAATGTTCCGGTAGTGGGTAGTAGAGGAAAAACAAGTGAAGATGAAGGTCAGATGGTGGAGTCTCAGTCGAGGCTGAGGTGGTGGCTGAGTTGGTAGAGTTGGTGATGATTATCCCGATGGTGGTGTGGTATTAATGGTTAGGTTGATGATAGTAGTGGTCGTAGTGTTGATGATGATGGTGGTTATAGTTATGTTGATAGTGATGGTTGTAATGTTTATTAAGGGGATATTTATCTCAGAACAGTGTTGATAGTGGTGGCGGTAGTGTTGATGCTGATGTTTATGTTGATGGTAGTGGTGCGTTGATTCTGGCATACGGAACATTGATGGTAATGGAACTGGTTCTAATAAAGGGGATAATGTTGGACGTGGTGTAGATGAAGGTGGTGATAGTGGGAATATTTATGGAAGTAGCGAAGATGGAGGAGGTAGGGAATGGTGGGGGTGATGCTGGTGGTGATGCTCATGGGAGTGGTGGTGATACTTATAATGGTGGTAGTCATAATGTTGATAGAACAGGTGAGAATGTTAGTGGTTCAAGGGGTGGGTGCACAGTAATACAGGTTAAGTATCCATGTGCATCTACACGACACACACACACACACACACACACACACACACACACACACACACACACACACACACACACACACACACACACACACACACACACACACACACATATATACAACAGGCGGGTTATTTGAGTATCGTTCCAGTCACGGTATTGTGCCTTTTTGTTATTTAACAGGCCTAGTGTCTAATCGACATGTGCCTAGGACAAAATGGTAACTAACTAACATATCCAGTTGAAATATCTAGAGACAATGTCAATGTATTATTGACATAAAACCCTAATTATAAATTAGTAGGACTAGTTAAAGTATCACCTTGAGAATTGTAAAAGAGTTTAGACGAATTTGTCATCCACTCTGAATTTTAAATAAGATAATAATGCCATTTTTTTGCTAATTACAAATTAATTGTACATTTGAAATAACTATTAGTTGTTGAGTTAGAAAAATGAGCTGGATAATGAGTGGTAATGTGTTGTTTTTCTCTGTATACTTAGAGTGCGTCTTCACACCATGGTCAACGACAACAAAATGAACGGCTTCGACAACCTGGCCTTCGACAGGAAAGATGAGCCCATAGAACTGAAAGGTAGGTTCCATGTGTGTGTGTGTGTGTGTGTGTGTGTGTGTATGTGTGAGTGTGTGTCTCTGTGTGTGCATGTGTGTGTGTGTGTGTGTGTGTGTGTGTGTGTGTGTGTGTGTGTGTGTGTGTGTGTGTGTGTGTGTGTGTGTATGTGTGTGTGTGTGTGTGTGTGTGTGTGTGTGTGTGTGTGTGTGTGTGTGTGTTGTTTCTCATAGTCTTCCCTCGTGCTCTTTCTACCTGTCTCTCTCTCTCTCTCTCTCTCTCTCTCTCTCTCTCTCTCTCTCTCTCTCTCTCTCTCTCTCTCTCTCTCTCTCTCTCTCTCTCTCTCTCTTCTCTCTCTCTCTCTCTCTCTCTCTCTCCCTCTCCTCTCGGTGTACCTCATTTGTTTACTAGCTGAAGGACACAAACATTAGTACAAGCTGGGGAAGTACATCTCACTAAATAGACAAAATAATGATGTTGCGAAAATAAGAGTGGAACTTGACATTACAAGGCCTGCAGATATTGTTTATGATATTGTCCTTCTAATTTACGAAACCCTTTCTAGTTTATGATGTTTTCCTCCCAATTTGTGATATCCTGGTTCATGGTGTTGTCCTTCTTGTTTCCGTCATATTTACTGCTTTCTATAGTTTCTATTACTTGTCTAACATATTCCAAAAAGGGGGATGCCTATAGTTGTTGTATTTTTTCATTCTCTAACTTTTACTTGTGATAAACTGAGACTATGCTGTGTGGACGACTCTAAACTTTCAACAATTGAGTGCCAGACAACTTCGGCAAAGATTTGAGTGCTTTTTTTGGGTTGTGCAAGAATGACTTTGTCAGTTTAATGTACCAGACTGTGATGGTTTCCATTTAACAGTTTGAGACTGCTTTTCTTCACGAGTTTCTAATTTTCAAATCTGGCATAGTCTACCTAGATGAAGGTTCGTGTAGCTGTTATAATGGGTAGGCTACCCACTCCCAGGTCACACTAACAGATGGCTACCCACTCTCAGGTCACACTAACACGCTGGCTACCACTCCCAGGTCACACTAACACGCTGGCTACCACTCCCAGGTCACACTAACAGATGGCTACCCACTCTCAGGTCACACTAACACGCTGGCTACCACTCCCAGGTCACACTAAGAGGTTGACTACCACTCCTCTGATATGTCTCTCACTCACCTTTTATCCCGAGGTCATCCAGGTCTTACGGTCGTCGGTTCTTGCTCAGACCTTGGTGGTGAGCCACAAGTAAATTCCTCAAGTAGGAAAGATTTTGCTGGGAGCGTTCCCTATTCAGGGTAGGTGGTAGTGGTGGTTCTGGTTATGATGCAGGTGGTGGTGATAGTGGTAGTGGTGGTGCTGGTTATGATGCAGGTGGTGGTAATAGTTATGATGCAGGTGGTGGTGGTGATAGTGGTAGTGGTGGTGCTAGTTATGATGCCGGTGGTGGTTGTGGTGGTGGTGGTGATGATGATAGTGGTAGTGCTGGTTATGATGCAGGTGGTGGTTTTAGTGGTAGTGGTGGTAATGTTTTTCTCTAATTAATGTCATTAAGTTATGGGATGCAGTTCAATTCTTCCAGCTTTGGAGAATTTGTTTTATTATTCAGGACCGGTGTATTTATTTTCTGACTCAAGATATGTCATTCTGGCTGAACTGAACTTCCCAATACATACGTACATTTCTTCCGGGATGCGGATACACGGGTGTACTGATAAGTTCTCACCTATATGTACTCCTCTATATGTGCTTGCAGGTGTTGAGTCGCACTCCGCTTCTTGGTTGCTACTTCGTTCATTCTCTCCGGGCTTCAAGAGCTTTGTCGTACCTTCTCTTAAAGTTATGTATGGATCACACCTCTACCACGTAACTTACTAAAATGCTCCACTTTCTGACAAATCTAAGGCTGAATAAATACTTATTAACATGTGGTGGCAATGGTGTGGGTTGAGTGGTGGTGGTGGTAGTGATGGTTGTAATGATGGTGGTGGTAGTGATGATTTTGTGGGTTATTACACTCCACACAATTCACAGGACACCCCTCACTATTTACACGATGCTCATATAATTCACATGACGTCCACACCGTTCACACGACGTCCACATAATTCATACGACGTCCACATTATTCACACGACGTCCACACCATCCACACCACGTCCACATAATTCATATGACGTCCGCACAGTTTACATGACGTCCACATAATTCTCAGTAAACGGAAAGGACTTGGGAAAAATCCGAAGGCTTGTTTTGTAAAAACTCATGACAGGAAAGTTCTTGATGGAGTAGCGACCCACGTCAGAGTGGAGGGAGTGTTGCTGTCACCGTGCTAGGGGAAAGGTGACCCACTTGGTGTGGGGACCCACACGCTGGGGAGGACCCAGTAGTAGGTGGGTTGTGAGGAAGGTTCTTTGAGGATCGTAAGAGCTTAGAGGAACGTTATTCCGTATATTAGTATAATATTATATTTATTAGCAAGTTCTAAAACTCTCGTGGTCACTTTGTCTGACTTTCATACGTTGCCTAACGTATGATAATTGTACTTATGTGTTCCTGTACCTTAATAAACTTACGACACTCAAGAGAATGGGAGGCAATCAGGTTTGATTCCGAAGAAGAGGAGGGCTATTTTCAATTCCTTGGATCAAGAGCCCTTCACCAACATCAAGCCACCTCACAGGCACAGGACAGAGGGAAACTGACGTTCAAAGGTCGAGGTATGAAGAAAACTCATCCTCGGAGAACTGTTACACGTCAGTACGTTAAAGAAAATTTTACTAAACGTGAAAGATAACTAACGAATTCCATTCTTTTCCCAAAGAGCGATGACATTCACGAATATCACCCACTAACCTGACAAAGATTCCATCCATCATTTACCTAAACTGATTTTCAAACCATCATTTACTGACACGTTGACTGACAAACACAGTAGCAGGTAGAAGGAGCGACGAGCTGATAAACAGATGACGAAGACAGTGAAATGGATTCATCTAACATTACAACAGTGGTACACAGCACGGACAAGATGACATTACACATATGTTCAACACCCGGGTATCTTTCTCCGAAGACCTCTCCTAAATCAGTGCATTTTTCAGTTCGATACCGAGATGATATACAAAGATAGAAGATGAGGTAATCAGTCCCTCAGCTTTGCAGAACTATGCATTAAGTTAGCTAATATAACAACTTTTCACCTCAGTATAAACGACATAGCTAATATTATAATAACTTTTCACCTCAGAATGAACGAAACAGTTAATCTTATAAGTTTTTACGTCAGCATAAACGACACAATTAATATTATAATAATATTTTATCTCATTATAAAAGACATTAAGTTTCTCCGGAGGAAAAATATTACGACAAAAGTAACGTTGACACACTGCGTAAAATAATGTGTTTATGATAGTGATATTTAATCTTCTAGGTGATGTAGGAAAAATGTTGCGTCATATGAATGCACTGACGCACAAAACAAAATTCCGTACCTTACCTGTAGAGCTGTCACCCTTAACCTTTTCTGCCTGCTCTTGTGAGTGTGTGTATGTGTGTGTGTGTGTGTGTGTGTGTGTGTGTGTGTGTGTGTGTGTGTGTGTGTGTGTGTGTGTGTGTGTGTGTGTGTGTGTGTGTGTGTACTCATCTAACTGTACTCACCTAATTGTGGCCGCAGGGTCGAGACTCAGCTCCTGGCCCCGCCTCTTCACCGATCGCTACCTCGTCTTAAAGCTATGTATGATTCCTGCCTCCACTACATCACTTGCTAGGCTATTCCACTTCCTGACGACTCTATGGCTGAATAAATACTTCCTAACATCCCTTTGACTCATCTGAGTTTTCAGCTTCCAACTGTGATCTCTTGTTTCTGTGTCCCCTCTCTGGAACATCCTGTTTCTGTCCACCTTATCTATTCCCCGCAGTATTTTGTATGTCGTATGTATAAAATGAGCGACAACTGACAGTTTTATAATCCTGAGGGATAGATACATATCCTTGGTTATTTACTTTCAGGTATTCTCTAGTAATGGCGTATTATAGTGTTTCATGACTAAGTGTATGAGAAGCACTATACTGGTCATTAGGTACGACAGGAGTGAACAATCAGCTACGTCGTTCTGCTTATCAACTTCTTTTTGGCGGAGAAGTTTATCAGGCGTCTCCCAAGCTGGCCTCATAGGCTGTGACAGACACTGATTATAATCACGTCGTTTCTTAAAACCTATTTTAAAATGTTAAATAGACGACGTTTAGCTCAACGTCAGTTATTCTATGTTTCATTCCTTTTTTTTTAACTTAGAGTAGGTTAAAACGGTGCCATGATGCTAGTGAAGGGCTCTTAATCCAAGGCACTGAAACTGCCCTCTTTTCCTTGCATTCCACAGGCGCTATATATCCCTTACATAAATGAACTAATAATCTGAACAAAAGAAATACTATAAACCCAACTTAATCAGACGGAATTACTGTACCACTCTCGACACTGTAATTAAAAACACATTTAAAGACTGTTTCAATTTTCTTACCTCTGTCATCCTGTCTGCCTACAGATTTCTTCATTGCTCTTTCCTACCTTATTCCTTTCATCCTTAATTTAACCATCCCTATGACTGAAAAAAAAGTGGTAGGAATCCCAACACGAATTCACTTTAAAACCTGACATTATGATTTCCAGTGTGAGAAAACTTAAGTAGAAATATACACCAAGAAGTGTATGTGTCTCAGTGTGTACTCCCCGAGTGTTTACATATTTCTTAACATTTGCTGTATTTGGTACTTTTATTTATTTCTTCTTTCTGTAACTTTCTCACCTCTTTGAAGACATAATATTGTTTCTTTTCAAGCTGTAGTTCCTGTTTTGTTATTCTTATTGTCTTATTGTTTTTTTTGTTGTATTTTATTGGGTAGCGGTACACACGTGCAGATGATACAGCGCCTGGAGAACAAGGGGCATTCAAGGTTACTCCTGTAATAAAGTTGGTAGAATTACCGACAATATGTAAAGTAAAAGGACACAAGTGCAACTAATGTGACATTTATTGTGGCAACGTTTCGCTCTCCAGGAGCTTTATCAAGCCATTACGGCTTGATAAAGCTCCTGGAGAGCGAAACGTTGCCACAATAAATGTCACATTAGTTGCACTTGTGTCCTTTTACTTTACAAGGTTACTCCTAGTGACGGAAAGCTCAAATTCTTTGGACTAAGAGCCAGTCACCATCGATGAGATAACTTTTCCCTTGGAAGGTTTGATAGCGAGAAGTTGTGTAGTCTGCCTATCCTTAAGAAGGCCAGAGAGGCGTTATCTTCTCTAATAACAGGTTATCCTAACCTGTTATGATACAGTCTCCACTGCCTTTCCCTCAATGATATCAAGAATCTCGCCTAGTTCACCTTGAAGATACCTCCTGCATGATCAGTTTGTATTCACCTGGTTTCAGCTACAAGAGTCGAGTGTCGGTTTCAAGCCTGACGTCTCAGTTACTCACGAATGATCCTATTATTTCTCGTCTCATTAGCACATCGTTCTGTACTCACATATTTGTGGTTTTAGGGGTCCATTCTCAGATCTTGGCTCTGAGTCTTAACTTTTCACTCTTCAGATTCACTTACTCTTAGTTTCGTGAGGTCATTTCGTATCAGTTCCTAATACTGTGCTTCCATCAAGTCCTCACCAAGATCATCCCACTTCCCGACCACTCTCAGACCAAAGAAATTCTAAGGATTAAAATATTCTCGTTTGGTAGTGAACAGGATACCTGCCGGCTTAACCCTCGTATAGTCGATACGTTTTAAACACCCAACAAATACCGTGTGCAAGACACATGTAGCTACTGTTCATACTAATTATATAAATTAAATAGCATAAGACAGTCATGACGACAAAATCAATGTAATTGTGTATTAGGTTTCATTAGTGATTAGTGTAATGTGATTGCACGTCTTACTTGTGCATGTAGATCGTTCTCCGATGTGTCTATTTGAGACTCAAACAAAGGTCAAATTGTGTGCACTTCAACCGAAGATTTTTTCACATACATCTCTCACGTCAGTCTTTCGTGCCCTCGCAGCCACACTATACCAGTTCATTATATGCTTCTGATGCTACAGGGAGTTGGCTCAACATATGGAGCCAAGATTTGCTGACCTTGTTCGGAGTTAACCTCGTTCCTTAGGAAATGGAGTTTTTTGCTGGGTCACATTACTCACAGTCCATATTCCAGCCTGGTGGACAGCTCGCTTTTAAGTGCTCAAACATTGCCTCTGACATAGGTTGGATGTTGTCAATTAATTTACTAGTTTTGGGAGAACATCTCTGTCAGTGACTCGTTGGCATATTTGTTAATCTTTTCGTATATAGTAACTCTGTAACGTTCAAGGAGTTTGAAGATGTCAATGTCCACGTCTAGCTCACAGTGAGGATTGAATGCCCTGTTGTAAAGAGGCTCTGTGATTCGAGGGTCGGGCTTTTACGCTTCCCGTGAGGACTTCTTACCCTTTCGTAAAAAGGGGAAGATGCACTATCGTAGTCTGTGAAGCTGTAGAAAACGAGTGAGGCCTGGGCTTGTTTTTCTCTTAGCTCATGAGCGAAATTATTTTCATGTACGCACCGTTAGCAGACGAGAAAACTTTCCTGCTGAGATCACAAATACGTTGGCATCAGTTGTCCGAATCAGGCAGGTTGTCAAGACAAACTTCAGTCCAACTTGAGGGTGAATCCGAAATCTGGTGTCTGCTTTCTCGTAACTGCATGGGGGGTCAGTCTCTGATTTCATTCTTGGGCGACGACTTATTGGCCAGAGGTGATGGCAACCTCCTTTTTTTTCCTGGCGAAAAGTCTATGCTTGCAGTTTTGCTGCTTGAAAGAAATTTGGAGAGTTTCTCCTTGTTTTCTGAATGATTCAAGAAGTCCTGCCACTACACTGGGATTTTCTTGTGTCTAGCTATATTATTATTATTATTATTATTATATTATTATTATTATTATTATTATTATTATAATGATGATGATGATGCGCTAAACTCGTGTGGGTCATTCAGCGCAAAGAGGGTGAAAGCTTGATCCTCCGTCCACTAATTACTAATCTGCGTATTTTTTTTAATGGATTATTTGGAAAAGACAGTCACAAACAGTGTCTACTCTGCGCAGACGAATATAAAAACGATCGTTTGTTTATTCTTTCGTCAGAGTCTCAAGAGAGCGCCTCCAATGCCTTTGGGGCGGCTAAGTCGGTCTTGGGAGCGAAGGTGCTCACGCCGGAGGAGAAGAAGGAGAGACTTGCTATCACGAAGAATATCATCATCATCTCTGTCGCTTTCACCTTCCTCTTCACCAGTTACAACTCCATGGCCAACCTCCAGTCCTCCATCAACAAGTGAGTGTACCACACATGGCTACAGGTATCATTCCATAATCTACCTTCAGTCCTCAGGTAATATTCCATAACTTACCTTTAGTCCTCTGTCAGCAAGTGTATCACACATGGCCACAGGTACCATTCCATAATCATCCTCCAGTCCTCCATCAAGCGAGTATATCACACATACACAAATAACCCGCACATAAAAGAGAGAAGCTTACGACGACGTTTCGGTCCGACTTGGACCATTTACAAAGTCACACTGTTATTTATATCACACATGGCCACAAGTACCATTCCATAACCTACCTTCAGTCTTTCATCAACAGTTGAGTACTTCACACATGGCCATAGGTACCATTATATAACTTACCTTCAGTTTTCCATTAAAAGTCACTATACGGTGGCTACAGTATGTGGTACGCTACAACATTTTAATGTCCTCTGGGTACTCGACCCTGTAATCTCTCAGACGAGAATAAAGCTTATCAGTGGCACAACAATAGCGATGAGTATCTGGAACAACTCACAGATGAATCACATTAGAAAGAACATATCTATGAGGATGTTTCGGTCCGTCCTGGAGCAGTGTCAGATTACAAGTGAGCGTGAGAAGGCAGAGATCAGACAGCAGATCGGGGAAGAGTGAGAGGGTTGGAGGTGAGAAAGGAATAGTAGAAATAATAGTAGTAGTAGCTTTAGAAGTAATAATAGTGGTAGTAGTAGTAGTAGTAGCAGCAGTAGTTGTAGCATAACAGAACTACTCATATTACTACTAATAATAATAGTAGTAGTAGTAGTAGTAGTAATAGTTGCAGTAGCAGAAGCAGTGGCAATAGTTTTCTCTGTCTTTTTATGTTCATTTGTAACTAGACAATGGTTGAAGAGGATCGAAACACCGTCATGTTTCCTCCTTTAAATGTGAGTTATTTATTAAATGTGAACTTTAGGTAAGTTCCTAATGATACAGACTGAACAACGCGCAGACACCAGTAGGTTAGACTTGCCTTCAGCAGGTCTGACCTACTGCTGTGACCCTGACCTAACAAGATTTATTTTCTCATAAGTGTTTTAATATGAAGAGTTCTTAAACTCTTAATGGTTAAATTATTATTATTATTATTATTATTATTATTATTATTAATGTGCGTTTTCTTCTCTAGTAACAGAAATAATACATTAATAAAATCATTGAATTACAGCCCCATGACCAAATACTGTATAAGAATATAGTATTCCTACATATACAGTAAGAGGGGAAAGTGACGTTAACGGCGACACCTTAAGTAATCATTTAATAGGGGGGTAAAGTGGCGTTAACTGCAATACCGTAATTTAATTATAATTAACACGATTGTAATTGCTGTTACCCATAGAGTAGATGGGACAGCAGCGTTGTCGACGCTCTACGGAGCCCTGGTACTCTCTTGTTGCTTTCTGCCTTCGTGGTTAATCAAGACGCTCAAAGTCAAGTACACGATGGCCATCTGTATGCTCTGTTACTCCACCTACATCGCAGCGCAGTTCTACCCGCAGATCTACACGTTGGTACCCACGGCCATCATTCTGGGGCTGGGGGCAGCGCCCATGTGGTCCGCCAAGTGTACTTATCTCACTAAGGTGAGACCTGTGTGTGTGTGTGTGTGTGTGTGTGTGTGTGTGTGTGTGTGTGTGTGTGTGTGTGTGTGTGTGTGTGTGTGTGTGTGTGTGTTGTTATGTTTTAACATGTAGTGGATCATACAGCGCCTTGGATCAAGAGATCTACCCATCACAGAGCTGGAAGTCCATAAAATTACCATCTGGGCGATGACTGTTCCGATCATGTGCCTAGCTTATATAAATGTTGGTAAATGTATATTACTCTCTTATTCATGGGGAAGATCCAAACCTGTCTGGTTTCTTACAGCGCTTAGGGAATGTAAAGTAATTAGATATGATCCAAGAAAGGAGAGCGTAGATCTATTTTTTGGAACAAGAGCATAAAAAAAATCTTCCCCGTTTCCTGTGACTCTCTTTTCTTTCTAAAAGAAAGTATTTAGTTTAAGTTAGAATCTGTATCAAGATTTACTTGAACATCTGACGCAAACTCTTGGTGGTATATAGACCTTTTAATTTATTCAGTATCTCCTACTGTGGGTTATAACCTTAAATAAATAAAATTTTATGTGCTATAAGTGTCGTTATACCATCATTTGTGGTCTTAAGTTACATAGTCACATTGACTTGCCATCCCGTGGCCAGGTTGGAGCGAGGTACGCTGAGTTAGTCGGGGATGACAAGGAGGTCATCATTACCCGTTTCTTCGGCATCTTCTTCCTCTTCTTCCAGTCGACACAGGTGTGGGGCAACCTTATTTCCTCCTCAGGTGAGTTGACGCAGGTGTTGGGGAGGTGCTTCAACCACATCCCTTAAGGTGAATTAGTTTAATAACATTTCTTTTCCTCGAGGAGACAACTTTATTCCTGAATTAATAGTCCCTTGAAGACTCAGTAAATTATCGTTCGTTACCACAGAGTCACAAGCCTAAACTCTGACATAATTGAAAAATTTATTAGCATGGGCCCTGAGCATGTGAGAGACATTTGTATGATTCACAAACATATTTTAGTGATGATTGATTCGTGAAGAACACGAGCGCCACCTGCACGCACACTTTAGTGCTACTTGATTGGTTCCTGCAAAACTTAAGTTACTTGGCTTGAGTGACCCATGAAGCACCTGACTAAAAATTTGCTTGACCTCTAACGCAATTGAATGCTACGTGACTGACCTCTATTGCAACTGAATACCTCTCGACTGAACTCTAACATACTTGAGTGGTACTTGATAAACCCCTAACGCACTCAAAAGCTATTGGATTTACACCTAATGTGCTTGAGTGCTACTTGATTGATCCCTAATGTACATAAGTGCTTCTTAATTGATCCCTAACGCACTCCCCAATGCCTCACGCATAATTTTCGTCCCCTTCTCTGCCACAGTGCTGTCTGTGGGCGTCGTCGACAAATACAAAACACCGGAGGAGCTGGAGAAGTGCGGCTTCAACTTCTGCCCGTGGGACACCTCAGACAGCAACAGCACTAACAGCAGTAGCAGTACTGACGATGATATTCCCAGGTGGCAGATCTATACTATGGCTTCCATCTACCTCGTTTTCTCCCTCCTCTCTTCAGTCATCGTCGTCATCTTCGTTGATCCCCTCAGCAGGTAAAAGGCTCGGGAGGTTGACGATAGTTCAACTGATGTATATTTCTCAACAGATAGATTGCAACACATATAATTAAGTCAAGTAGTGAATAATTAAAAATTTAGATAATTTAAAAGGCCTAGTTTGAAAGCTTCTTAATTTAAAAGGCAGATAATTCAAGATTCACTTAATTCAAAGGTTAAATATTTCGTGTCAAATAATTTAAAGGCCGGTTATTTTATGAGATTGCTAATCCAAAATGCAGATATAATTCAAAACAAAGAATAATATCGAATGTAAATATCGATATCTGCATGCGACAGAGAAATGCAATTTAAGCAAAATGAACACCGATGTACACAATGAATAATAACCACTTGCAAATATGTGTGAATACTGGGACACCAAGTGAACAACTGATGTTCTTTCACTCTTCCTGACCAGCAGATATGATGAGCAGGATTCACATTTATGCCTGTAAGTAAACAGGTGCGAGGCTTCCCTCACAGGGCGTATTCAAATTCATATGTGTAACATAGAGCCACATATGTTGCCATTATCTTACTTGATGGGTTAATTCTGACTTCAGATTCAGCATCAACATGCTAAAAAATAACTTAAAAATATTTCATTTACAAATGTAGCAAATTTGTTGTTCAAGGTAATTCAGTATGTTATTAATTCAAGAAATACATAATAAAAGTTGTTGATAATTCAAGATGCAAATAATTCAAAAGGTAAATAATGAGTAATGTAATAGAACATGGGAGATTGATCATTGGAAGTGAGGGGAGTAACTAATAATTCAGAAATATTTCTTTTGGTCAAGAGAAATCTGCTTTTATTAGTAGTGAAAGCTGCTTGTGGAGCTTGTGTCTTCTCTTGATTATTGTCAGCAGCTCATCATTTACATCCTTAGTTTTTTCTGGGTGAGCATAAAAATCTTATGGATCATATAGCGCCTGTGAGAATGAGATTTAATCGGATCTGATTACTTGTAGGTATATATATATATATATATATATATATATATATATATATATATATATATATATATATATATATATATATATATATATATATATATATATATATATATATGCAAAACAATCACTGTGAAAGAATAGAGAAATTCCAAGTGCTTTCGTGACTACTCACATTATCAAGGAACAATAAAAGTAATGCATCAAAGGAAGGCATATAAAGGGTCTAGACCACACCTCACTATCACATCCCACAACAAAGCAACACCTGACGCGCGACTCATAAGAAAGAGAACACTGAAGCAGACCTGCTGGCCAAACTAGACAGGTCCTTCATGCAACCCACAAACTATTCAACCCAAGAATTAAGAATTTTAAAATTTATTATTTGTCCAATGTATTATTAAATTCTTCCCAAATTCTATTAATTATAAATGGATCTAATTTATATAAACCAAAGGAAATATTCACATTATTGTCAAAACTGCTTTTTATGAAACAAGATTCAATTATATTCCTGTCGACCATGGACTTGCTTCATACAACTTTCTCAACTCTTTGAAAATCAATTGGATGGTTAAAATCTCTCACATGAATAAATAGAGCATTGGAATCTTGTCCAGTTCTAATGCTATATTTATGTTGTTTTATATATATATTGCATGACGGATCTCGTTCCGTCATCCAAAATATCCAGAACTCACCATGTGGATGTGACTTGATCCATGTGGTTACATGACCTTCTCTGGTGCAGATTCGTGGGGAATGAAACGTACGACGCAACAGCTGACAAGACGGGAGTTCAATTACTGGTTGCCACCTTCAACCACATGCGTCACCCCTACCAGCTGCTCATCATTCCCCTCACCATCTGGTCGGGCGTCGAGCAAGCCTTCCTTGGGGCTGACTACACCGCTGTGAGTATACGGCCTCTGTACTAGTGTATGTAAGACACACACGCACACACACACACACACACACACACACACACACACACACACACACACACACACACACACACACACACACACACACACACACACACACACACACACACACACACACGAACACAGCGTTTCGGCATCTAAATAAGGAGTCAGAATCATACTGGAGTATGCAGCACCACTATGGAGCCCACACCTGGTCAATCACGTCAAGAAATTAGAGGAACATAAAAAAAATTGCAACAAGACTAGTTCCGGAGCTACGGGGTATGTCCTGTGAGATGAGGTCAAGGGAACTCATCCGAAAGTATTTCTTTAGCCTTAGAGTTGTACATGAGTAGAACAATCTGGAGAGCGAAGTAGTATAGGCAGGATCCATACATAGCTTTAATAAGAGGTACGATCAGGCTCTTGGAACGAAGAGAAAGTGGACCTAGTAGCGACTGCCAAAGAGGCGGGGTCAGGAACTATGAAACGATCCCTGTAACGACATATAGGTGAGCACACACACACACGACTAGTGAAGAAGCCGGGCCAGGAGCTATGAATCGATCCTTGTAATCAAAATTAGGTACGTACAATTAGGTCACACACACACACACACACACAGAGTACTGCACATTTCCCTAGGGTTCCCAAGTCATTATACCGACTGATTAACGTATGAAAACATATGCAGAACAAGGTTTGTTAGGGAAGAGCTTTCTCATGCCATGACTTAATAAAGCTCCACACAGACCTGAATATTTAGTCCTCATACCCATCATTGTTTCCACTGCAGTACCCTGAAACTCCTCTGATTTTCGATTACCATTTTTAATCAGCACCTAACACAGTATCGCACACAAGAAATTGTAATGACACGATTGTAAACAAACCACGGTAGGGGTGGGAACTGAAATCACTGCGAAATTAATTTTCACCCGTACCGTGCTCGAGTTAATCACGGCCACGCTGAAGGAAGATTCGTCTGTAAAAACTTGTATTTATGGTCACAGTGGCGCTAATGCTAACCTTTCAACGGTGTATAAATATACCTAGTTGGATGAATCTTATTGTAGCCAGCTGGCCCAGTGGCTAACGCTCCGGTCTGAAGTTTTACGACTCCCTAGCAGCGAGTTCAGTTCCCACCCTTACCGTGGTTTACAGTATAGCATAATGTCATGTATCTTTCTCTTGCCGTTGCAGGCATACGTGTCATGTGGTCTCGGGGTACACATGGTGGGATACATCATGATCTGCTACGGTGTGTGCGATGCTGTCTGTTCCGCCAGCTTCAGTCCTCTCGTAAGAATCGTGGGTCGGGTGCCCATCTTCACCATGGGCTTCATTATCAACCTCAGCATCATCATTACTCTCATCTACTGGATGCCCACGCCTGACGACCTTCCTGTTTTCTTCATCATCTCCGGGCTGTGGGGCGTGTCTGATGCTGTGTGGCAGACGCAGATTAATGGTGAGAAAGCTGCGAGTTCATTAGAATTTCTTAGCTTCCAGATATTTAGCTTCTTGGTCTAGGAAGTATTTTCTTCAAGGCCCGTAAAGGATGTACTCGCAAAACTATTCCCCATTAACGAGAAATACTTAACTTACTGTGAATTTTATTCCCTTTCGGTCTCTAAGCCTTAAATCAACGTCAAAGTTCAAGTAACGAAAGTATTTCGATTAAGATAATGCTCTCAACCACATGGATTATACCCATTTATTTATAAATTAAGAATTCATTCAATGATTTCTTTAATTATTTTTATATGGAGGTTTAAGCAGGTAATTTTGCATTAATTTCTCTTTCCTTCTAGCCCTCTACGGTGTAATCTTCCCTGGAGAATCAGAAGCAGCCTTCAGTAACTACCGCTTGTGGGAGTCGATTGGGTTCATCATTGCCTACGCTTGCAGCACCGCCCTCTGCATCACCACCAAAGTCACCATCCTCCTTGTGTTCCTCGTGTTGGGCATCACCGGATTCTACACAATCGAGATTATTGAGAGATTCTGGGGGCTGAAGAAGACAAAAGAAGGGGTAGTAATACCCATAGATAAGTTATTAATCGGGGTACATGAGTGAACTCAAAACGCTTTGCTTTATGTTAATGAACAGTATTAATGTGGAGCGATGACGAGCCGTTATCCAAAATAATCTCGGTTGTGATTTTCATGTACTCAATAGAATACCTGTCTTTTTTAATACGAACAAGCATGAGTATGGCGCAAAGTGTTGAACTAAAAGTGCCAGTAGAACTCAAATGCGGCGATAATCGTGCTGATCTTGGTGCAATAGATTCAAGTTACATGAATAAGGTTAATGTGTTGATCTCGATACAATAGCTTCAAGATTTTAAAGCAAAATGTTACCAATTCCTGGCTCCTCACCTTACTTCCCTGCCTGTACTTCCTTACTTTCCCTCAGGACGTTTTTTTCTTTTCTTTACCCACCATTTAACCTCTCCTTTGACCTCTCGAGTTTGACCTCAGGATACTTGTTTGCTTAATAAGGCAATGTGTCTCTGATTTTTTGTATATTTGATAAAATTCAGCCCTGGACACAACAGTTGCAGCGGCCTTAAAGGTTTCCCTGCAACATGAAGTCTTTTTTCTACTTGTACAGCCATTCACAACTACCTTGATGGATAAAGTGAACGTGTTGATTTAGCTGCAAGAAACTGATTTGGCAATAGAGTTGTGGAAGAGTGGAACAAACTGGCTAACATTAAAAATAGGCTGGACAGATATATAAGTGGTCAGACTATATGGTAACACAATGGAAGCGTAGAAACATTATGTAAATAAGATACACAATCCACCAGGGACTTTGATAAAATCTGAAAAAGTCATATATTTCCCTTTTAAGGTTACAGGTGTTATGAAAACATCAAATGCTCCTCTGTTTAGGAGTTCTGGCTAGTAGTAATCTAAAACAAAGACAACAGTGCATTAGTGTTCGCAATAAAGCTAACAGAATTCTTGGCTTCATATCTAGAAGTATAAATAATAGAAGTCCTCAGGTTGTTCTTCAACTCTATATATTCTTGGTTAGGCCTCATTTAGACTATGCTGCTCAGTTCTGGTCACCGTATTACAGAATGCATATAAATGCTCTGGAAAACGTAGAGGAGGACGGCAAAGATGATCCCATGTATCAGAAATCTTCCCTATGAGGATAGCCTGAGGGCCCTGAATCTGCACTCTCTCGAAAGGCGTAGAATTAGGGGGATATGATCGAGGTGTATAAATGGAAAACAGGAATAAATAAAGGGGATGTAAATAGCTTGCTGAAAATTTCCAGCCAAGACAGTGTATTAAAAACATTTATACCTGTGTTAAGGTTACCTATATTCTGAATACATAAGATGCTACTCTGTTAAGTTATCGACGTGCTGTAGACACAATCTGGTCCAGTGTTAAGCTTTCCGATATACTAAAAGTAACCCCCGGTTACTAATCAGTCAACGATTTGCCCAAAGAAAACTTCCGTGGTTTTTCTTAAGGTGGCCAATATATAAATCAAACATTTGTGCAATTTTTGGAACTTTAAACAAGTGCTCGCAAGAAGCGTTTGTTGAAAGCTCGAAGTATTAACTTGTGTGATGTACAAGGTCCCCGATGTTATGAAATCATGAATGGGTCCTCTCTGTTATGTTTATACATTTCAGGCAGCACTTGCTTCCCTCTAAACTCAGGATGTGCCTGAGTGGATAGGTGGTCATTTATTAAAGCCGCTTACTGGATGCACCAGCTGTTCGCCACCTGAGTAGCTCGGGATAGCTATGCCCTTTACCAACGAGCTTTGTATCATCATCTGCAATACTGTGTTACTTATTCGCTGACTTTGTGATAAGTCTTCCTGTGATTATTGTGATGTGAAAATAATGTAAATAAAAAATAAATGTAAATAAAAAACAATGTAAATAAAAAATAAATCGAAAAACTTCATTCTGTTTTCCTAAATGATAAAATAATGTATAAATGCTAGTACTTATGTTGATTGATATGTCAGGAACTATCTGTCTGTCTGTCCTGTCTGTCTGCAGGATAATAATAAAACAACAAACAAAAGGGTCTAGTAATTACTTCCATTCAAATGGATATCATATAGATAAATAATATATAAGAGGTATATAGAATTCATGAAAAAGTGAGTAATTTCGCGACATCATATGATATGAATTGGCTTGGAATGTTTGAAGTCATACGTTCACCTGTCAATGATTTGTTAGCTTTCGAGACTGAAGCAAAAATCAGTACGTATAACACACACACACAAAAAAAAAACTGAATAATACCATAATTTCCTAATATTAACCATGAACATTCAGTAACTTGAGTTAATAATAGAACGAACTGAAGTTATTTCTCTGTAAACAAGATAAACCAGGTTCTGTTGGACTACTGTATAAGACATCAGAGCTACAGAATAAGATCAGAATTTGTTTAACAGAGTTTGCGAAATGAATTAACCGTCCAACGTAAACTACGTTTCACGTCTTGTCCAAAAGTTAAGTGATCATTTTAATTTTACGAGTTAAAATTATATTTCCCACCAAACAATCAGAAGTCTGTTAATTTATATTTTATTCGTGAAACCAGTTTGAGATGATTTATGACTCTGTCAGTGGAACAATTAGCACGGTGATAAATCTTGCTCAAAATCTGAAAAAAATAGCATTAGCTCAGCATTTTCCAATAGAATATTTGTGCTGTTTCATTTTATGTGCTAAAACCTTCTTTTGTTTTACCTATACAAGGTGAAACTCCATCCAGGGAAAACTGTAGCAACAGCCAGAAAAACGAGCTGTGTGGGTTGAAAATTAGCAAAGTGTTCAAGAGTGAGTTTTTTCTTAAAAACTAGATATACTGTGTTAGCCTGTGTTATGCTAGTTAACCTGTGTTATGCTAGTTAACCTGTGCTATGCTAGTTAACCTGTTATGCTAGTTAACCTGTGTTATGCTAGTTAACCTGTGTTATGCTAGTTAACCTGTGTTATGCTAGTTCACTTGTGTTATGATAGTTAACCTGTGTTAGCTAGTTAACCTGTGTTATGCTAGTTAGCTTTTCATTTTTTAGTAACACCAACACATTTCTTTGAGAGTAAATTTCTTGAACTTACGTTGTATAACTATTATTAATTTCGTTATAATAATAATAATAATAATAAAAAATAATAAATAATATATTATTATTATTATTAGTAGTAGTAGTAGTTGTAGTAGTACTAGTAGTAGTAACAGTAGAAGTAGCAACAGTAGTAGTAATAGTAGTAGTTGTAGTACTGGTAGTA